CATTGGGGCTAATATAAGCAGCCCTAAGCATGATTTCAGTGTAACGATAGAGACAATTTCTGAGGCTGGGGATATAGCTAAGTGGTGGGATACAAGCGTAGCATGTGTTCCCTAGGTCTAGTCATCACCACAAAAAAAAAAAAAAAAAGAAAAAGAAAGAAAGAAAGAAACATTAAGCAAAGAAACAAGAGCAAAATGGTAAGGCTTGATGTGGGAGTTAAGGAGTTCTCTGAATTTCATCTTTCCTTAACCAGAGCATTTGAAGATGAGAAGAAGGCTCGGATGGGTGTGGTGGAGTGTGCCAAACATGAGCTGCTGCAACCATTTAATGTTCTCTATGAGAAGGAAGGTGAGTTCTAAAGAGAATTCTACTTTGGAGCCCTGATTATGTGGTACCATTCTCCAATTTTAGAAAAGAGCCAACTATAATAAAGAACTATTTTATCAAAGCACGTCTTCATTTTTCCCATAGGTGAATTTGTTGCCCAGTTTAAATTTACAGTCCTACTTATGCCCAATGGCCCTATGCGGATAACCAGCGGTCCCTTTGAGCCAGACCTCTACAAGTCAGAAATGGAGGTCCAGGATGCAGAGCTAAAGGTCTGTGTGAACATGTAGCCTGTGGCCTGTGAGTGAAAGTCCTAAAAAGAACCACAGTGCTGAGAGGAGCACTTTGTGTTCCTTCCACATTCCTCAAAATGTTACTTTCTTCCTCTTGTTTTTCCAGGCCCTCCTCCAGAGTTCTGCAAGTCGGAAAACCCAGAAAAAGAAGAAAAAGAAGGTGTGTTATGACCATACTCTTCTGACTGGTGTTTTACTTTCCTGGGTCATGGTGGGGTACCAATTTTTATGAATCCTGATCTGACCCCACTTGGCCTTGCCCCAGAGAATCAAGATACTTCCCTTTTTGTCCTCTAGCCACTATTCCCCAAGTAGTTAGAAACTGACTTGTCTTCCTCACCTTGTTTTGAAATGCAGGCCTCCAAGACTGCAGAGAATGCCACCAGTGGGGAAACACTAGAAGAGAATGGAGCTGGGGACTGAGGTGGGTCCCATTTCCCATCTTGCCGCTCCTGCCTCATCCCCTCCCACAATACCCAGGCTCTGTGAAGTGCAGTTTGACTTCTCTACCCAGGACCGCCACCAGAGCGGGGTCTCCCTGCCCCCTCCCCACCCCCAGCCCACTCCCTCCACACCAACAGCCAGCTCCAACCGACTCTGGTTTTGGGAGGCCAGGCTTCCCAGCCACTGAAGACTACTTTAAATAGAAAAAAAGAAATTCAATAATAAAATCAGGAGTCAAAATCCATCGTCTTCAAGCCCCTCTTTCTAGCCTTTTCTACTATTTTGCTTGGTCAAAGTTTGTGGCCCTACAACAGAAATTAGCCACCACCACTAAAAACTCAGTTGAAATTTTTTTATACTACTCTGATGTCAGCATTCTCTCATCGATGGTTTGGGGCTTTTTCTCCTCTCTTGTTTCACACTCTCCACGTATTTTATCTACCTTCAAAATTAAGAGGAGCTGTTCTTCAAATGGTTATTCCATGTGGCAGATTCCAGATCTGATCCAGACTGCATAGTCAGGCCCTTCCCGTTTTTAGGAGCCGATGTCTCCATTTATGAAGAGGTTGTCATCTATCAACTGGATCTTCTAGTAGTCATTTTTTTTTCTGCAGTGTCTTTTTCTTCCCATTTTCACAAAGCTGGTAAGGAAATAATCCATCTCAACTGTGCCCTATTCTTTGGAGTCAGTGGGGCCTTCTCACTCGTGCTTACACAAATCTAAGCGGAAGTTGAACTGATTCCCTGTTTGACCATATTTTGACTTCCCTTCCTTGAAAGCAAAACCAGGAACCTGAGAAGTAGACTGACTTAAAGAGACAACTAATTTTCTGAAGTTGTGGACTTGGATTGGATGAATTGCTGGGGGTTTGCAGGGAAAGATGACATATTTCAGTACCTCTGGCATGCTGTCCCAGGGAACTAGGGCTCCCACTGATTTACAAGGTTTTTAAACATTGAAAATGACATGGTGTTAAAAATAAATTTTGATTTACTCATATCTTTGTATGTTGTTATTAATTTGAAGGTGGGGAGATTCAGTTGAAGCCATCAGCTACTAGGAGTGACACAAGTGCTGGATTCTTTGAAAATAGCAGTAAATTTCTGTGGATTTTTTTTTGTTTGTTTTTTTTAAGCCAGTCAAATTTAGCGGGGGGGGGGGGGTGGTGGTAGTCATTTGATTTTCTTTTGGGGGGACTAGGGATTAAACTCAGGACCTTACACTTTCCAGGCAGGTGCTTATGCCACTGAACTAAATGCCAGGCCCTAGTAATCTCTACTGTTTTTTTTTTGGTCCCGGGGATCAAACTCATAACCTCATACTTGCCAGGCAGACACCTGTACCACTGAGCTAAATCCCCAACCCTTAATTTGTCAAAGTAGAAACATACTTCACCACTGACATTCATTCCAGACTAGGACACAGTGTTTCAGACCAAAAATTGAAGCCAAGAGCGATGTATGTAGTGTTAGTGCTAGTGTTAAGGGCAAGGCTAATGGTGTAGGTAGGTAGCTAGAGGTTAGTCTTGTTTTGGGAATGCTGGGAGAGTCGGAAAAGCACTGAGCTACATTCCTGCAGCACCTCCACCCCCTTTTAGGACCTTGCTGAACTGTCCAAGCTGGACTAAGGCTTGGAATCCTCCCTACCAAGCCTCCAAGTAGCTGGGGTTACAAAGATGCATACCACACCCAGCTTGTGTTCTACATGGAGAGTGCTGCTAATCTGTAAGTACCATAGCAAACAAGGCTGAAGACCAATGGTGTGTATTCATCACTATTACAGTACAGAATATTTGTATTGCCATAAAAATGACCTGCCTGGGCTGGGGATTTAGCTCAGCGGCATAAGCGCCTGCCTTGCAAGCAGGCAGTCGTGAGTTCAATCCCTGGTATCAATAAAAATGAAAAAGACAAAAAAAATTAAAAATTAAAAAAAAATGTCCTGCCTACTCATCTCCCTGTTACTCATTTGCATACCTATAGAATGTACACCCAAGAATAAATGCTAATTCATACTGGTCTTTGATAAACTACCAGTATAAGTTCCACAGGTACAACCAGTACTCTCGTAGAGATGATATGAGTAGCTGTGAATGGGTAGAGATGGGATATAAAGGGGGTAATAGCCCACTATTTTTTTTTTTTTTTTTTGGTACCAGGGATTGAACTCAAGACTGCACGCTTGCAAGGCAGGCGCTTATGCCACTGAGCTAAATCCCCAGCCCAATCACCTTTTTTTGTGTACTCCTAAGACTGCTCTGAAAAGTACTGTCAGTCAGGTGTAGAACATCCCTGTAATCCACCACTTAGGAGGCTGAGCAAGATCACTGTGAGCTCAAGGCCAACCTGAACTACATAGCAAACCTTGTCTCCAAAAAAGGAAAGGAAAAATAAGCCCAGCATGGATAATTTGGCAAGAACATCTCAAAATGAATAAAGGGCTGGAGAGTATTAGTATAGTAGCCCTGGGTATTAATGCTGAGTACAAAAAACAGACATTCTGCCAATGGAACTACTTAAACATGGGGAACAATGACTTAACTTTCGAAAACGTGAAGTTTAAGGCCAGCCTGGTCTCAAGGAAAAAAAACTTTTAAAGTGAAGTGATTGTGTTGCTTTGTATTTTGTTTTAAGACACAGTCTCACTGTATGCCTCAAATTTTCTCTGAACCTCCAGCCTCAGCCTCCCAAATGCTGGGATTACAAGCATAAGGCATCACATCTGCTAAATTAGTTTTGAGCCTGGCTTGGTGCAGGCCTGCAGTCCTAGCACTTTGTAGGCTGAGGTAGGACCACCAGTGACAGTTTGAGGTCAGTCTAAAGTTCAAACTGAAAAACAAAATTCAAAGCCAGCCTGACCTACACAGAGACCCTGTTATGAAACAGAAGTCTATGTTTAAGCATTTTTTTTTAGCCATTTTTTGTTTTGTTTTTTGAGGCATGGTCTCATTATGTAGTTTAGGCTGGCCTTAAATTTACTATGTAGTCCAGATTGGCCTCAAACTCATGGTGATCCAGCCTCAGCCTCCTAAATGGTGGGATTATAGACATGTGCCACACCCACACCTGGCTAACACTACTTTTCAGAGCAGTTTTGGTATACAGAAAAAATCTGGGGAGTGCTGGGACTACAGGAATGCGCCACCACATCCAGCTTTAGTCTTAAATTTTCTGTGACCAAAGCTCTGGAGATAGGCTTTCTAGACCTGCTCGCCTGACAATACCAATTGACAAAGTTTTTCATCTTAACACCAAATGTCATATTAACCCCTAGAGAAGACTTAACATGCACCAGTGTTGTCCTGTGTTCAATCCCTGTGTCCCCTCTGTCGTTGGGTTTTTCACATTTAGTTATAGAAAAACACTGCAGAATTTTCTATGAAAATGATTCTTTGTGGGCAGGAAAGAAATCTTTGCCTGAGATATTCTGTCTCAGGCATTGTGGTGAAAGATCATAGTTAGCTATTTCATTCCCGGAGTTTTAGGGGGGGAAAGAGGTCTGTTTTTGCAGTATTATATCTTTCTCAACTTCCCATTTTACGTCCTTCCCTGTTCTGGAATCTTAGGACCTTCGAAAATTCCAAGATCGTATCTCCTGCAACATATTAGCTTAAAAAGTAAAGCAAAGCAGTAAAGCAAACTGGAATTTTTGTACAGTCGGCATCTATTTATAACAAACTCAGCACCTATTCATAATAAAATGGAAGACTTTGCTAAGAAACTTCAACTCCCAGGAACCAATGAGGAAAGGTGGAAACACTGACCTTTTCCTTTTTCGGTTCCATACTGGAAATAGATATACAAACGTATATGATGTCTTCAATAATAAAAATGGGAACTATTACTAACTCGAACTCAAAATACTATTATCTTCCAAGAAAAATCCTAAATTACGTATATGGTAGCTGAAAGCAGCGGAAAGCCATTATGAGTCTCACTGGAAGCCACGCCCCCCTAGGACGTAGGGCGCAATAGCGGAAATGACGACACCGAGCGCCGCATTAAAACCCGTAGGCGGAACTTTGGCGCTCTCTCGGCTTTAGCGCCATCTTCTTAGGTGAGTTGATTGTGGCTGTTGAATTCGCGATCGGCGTACAATCCATTAACATCTGACCTCTGCGTTAGTCATCATCATAGGAAAATAACTATAATCTCTTTGTCTTTCCCGGCAGAAACCTCTGCGAGATGAGAGCCAAGGTGAGCGATATGTAATAATGAGCACTGGTGAGAGAGGTCAGGCAAGAAAAGTCCATCATGGTTCCCAATCACTGGGTTCTCAAGAGGTGGTAGGGAGGGGAAGCAAACTTCGGGTGAAAATCAGGGGGAAGGAGTGGTTAAATAATGGAGGAGAGAAAAGGCGCTGGCGAAAAAAAACCCGGTGGACTTGGCGTTTTGTGTCGGGGCGGTTTCTGTTAGCCTTCGTGCTTAAGAACCTTTCCGTTCTCGCTTCTAAATAGTGAACTTTATAATCACAGCTGAACCTGCTAATGAAAGTAATCTTTTCTGTCTTCTGTCTATGGTCGGGTCGCTAGTGGAGGAAGAAGCGAATGCGCAGGTATGTGTTCTAAGATTGCCAGTCCTGGAGGGGTCCCCCGGACAAAACCGTTCGGTTTGGAAATCTAAAAACTATGAGAAAACAATTACTGCTTCGGCGGACACAGGGATTGAACACAGGACAACACTGGTGCATGTTAAATTTTTCACTCCCGTGTAGTCACCGCATGTTTTAAGATTTTAAAAATCCTGGGCAGTAATATCGTATCTTCGCAGGCTGAAGCGTAAAAGAAGGAAGATGAGACAGAGGTCCAAGTAATCTTGTACACCCGTGGAGGCCAAAGGAGCAGAAATAAGGAATGCTGGAGGCTGAGGACGCTGGTACAAGTTATTGGACTGCATGCTGTCTAGAATGTTTCAGTGCGTTAGAAATTCATTGACAATGACAGCAAAGACCACCTCAAAGAGATCCACCTTGTTGATGACTAAAGCAGTACCCCCCATCTTTTGCCCTGGAGCTGTGGCATTCTGGACTACTTCTGTTCTTACTTGCGGCCGAGTGTAACACGTGTACAATAAATCATCTCTTCTGTGTTAGCTGAAGAATCAAATTGTCTATTTCATTTTTTTGTACAGTTCCACTGAACGTGGATTCTATGTTGCTAGTTTGTGTCCTATCGCCACTGTGCTATGGAAAATCAACCTATAATGGCAGCAGTCTGGGTGTACTATGTAAAACTACCTTTACTTGACATTGAGAAAGACGTGTATGTATACTTAGAGGAGTGTTTTTAAGCTCGCGGGAAAGTTTTAAGGCAGGTGTTGGGACCGCCCCTACTTTTCCTTCTCTATAGTTCCGGCTGGGGGGTCACTTGCGCGGCTGTTAGCTTCGATTGCTATGACTACACGCAAAGGTTGCTGGGAACTTCCTGTCTTTTTCACACTGTTCGCTTATCATAGAGTATAGTTCCGGGTCTGATAGCTAGAGTGTCACTTCCGCAGGAAGCGGAAGAGCCATAAGGTGGGCGGCTCTTTGTCGAAGCTAGAGGACCGGCAGGCGGCAGCAGCAACTACGGCGGCGGCGGCAGGTGAGGGAGGCGGGAGACTTAGGTGGAGGCCGCGCCCGGAGGGGAGGAGTCGGGGCCGGCCCAGCGGCTGGGTGCTGCCGGGCCAAACAAGTGTCCCAGAACCGAGCTTGGCTCTTTCTCACACCCTGGGACAGACCCCCTTTTCTGACTGACCCTCGCTTCGCGAGCAAACGCCAGCTGTGTGACGTCACGGCCCTGCCCATCCCCTGAGCTTGATGTCATGTAGACCTCCTCCGCTTCACTTTCTGCTTCCTTAGTGTCCTATTCACTTGGCTCATAGATGTGTGTGCTGGCAACATTGTACCGAAGATTTGCTTCCAAGAAATTGCTAGGACTTTTCGAAAAGTCTAGGTTGTTGGAAAGAGTCATAATCACCGTCCCCAAGTATTAACTGTCATCCCTCTGCACTATTAGTTGCTGTTCTTCTGTCCTTATTTAGCATTCCTAGCTCCTTTGGTCCGTCTCTGAGCCCCACACATCCTCCATCTTTTTTTTGTTTGTTTGTCTTTTTTCTTTTTATCGGTACCAGGGATCGAACCCACGACTGCCTGCTTGCAAGGCAGGCGCTTATGTCGCTGAGCTAAATCCCCAGTACCCACATCCTCCATCTTAAGGCAGGTCTTTTCTCACCTTCTGTTCCTTGAGGACTAATTTTCCAGCCCACCCTCTGAGCCTTTACAAATCAGTTCTGTCCCTTACTCTTTACTGATGATCTCTCTTTTGACAGGTGAAGCTCAGTTTGAACCCTTAAGGAAATCTTTACCTTCTGAAATCTTTTGCTGTTTTATCAGATTTCACTCTTTTTTATGACAACAACCCTATAATTTTCCATGCTTACTCTTTATCCCACCCAGGTATCTCTTTTTTTTTTTTCCCTCCATTCAGAATCCAGCAGTGATGTGGAGGTGGAGACCCACAGGAGCCCGGGACTTCACCTGAGCTACCTCAGGTATCAATTCTGGGAGAATTGATTGGGGAGGAGTATCATACCCAATTATCTGCTTCTGGTGAGACTTGCAATTTGGATGGATGGCATTTATTCAGTTTATTTCAAGTTTTATTTTCTTTTTATTGTTTCTGTTATTCTGGGTTGCCTCCTTTTGGAGGATGAAGAGTCCCTTATATAGATGTTGTGTAACTTTGGCCTCTCATCTGGTGGGTCATTTTAGGGAGGTATAAACTCAAAATCAAGCCAGGCGTGGTCACCCACACCTGTAATCCCAGCATTTGGGAGACTGAGACAGGAAGATCGAAATTTTGAGGCCAGTTTGAGCTACATAGCAAGTTCAAGTCCAGTCTAGAGTACTAGCATACTAGCTAGGCCCTGTATTAAAAACAAACAAAACACATAAAGTCAAGGCAATGTGGTGATGTAGGGTAGGTGAAAGCCAAGAAATAGTAAAGATTTCCTCACGTTTAAGGAAAAATAATACAGTCTTCCTGTTTGAACAACAGGGGGAGCCTGAACACTGTTTAAGAAAGGGTTAGGAAGTCAGACACGTGGTACTTAGGACTCCCAGCCTTATTGGAGGTAGAGAGAGGGGAAGACTAGAACTAGGGCAGTGGACTGACATTCCAGAGCTCCTTTGGGAAACAGGAGACTTAAAAAGCTTTTATAGAGTCTATAAATAAAGAGGATCTTTACAGGGTAAGCAATAGTGCATGGTTTGATGTCAGTAGTATCTTCCCATGGAAGGCCAAGAAGTGGGTGGGGAGTGAGGAAAGAAAGGTCATTTATTCCTGTGATATTAACTTGTTTCCACCTTCACCTTGTCACAAATAGTTTTGTCTTGGGGGTCTAGAAGAAATTCCATCTTGGAACTCCTCTCTGGTATGGAGGAGCCTGATTTCGGTGGGGTCAATAGTGGGCTAGGAGAAAGTAGTTTAAAATGACAGATTTAGAGACTGCCTTCAACTGGTTATACCATCTCTCTCTTTTTTTTTTTTTTTTTTTTTTTGGTCTTTTTCCTTTTTTATTGATACCGGGGATCAAACTCACAACTGCCTGCTTGCAAGGCAGGCGTTTATGCCGCTGAGCTAAATCTCCAGCCCCGGTTACACCATCTCTTCACCCACAGTTTCTTGGGTTCTAGAGATCTGATACATGCAGAACCTTCCCCTAAGATTCCACAGAAAAGAAATTAAGGAAAGTTTTGTTACCAAAGTCCCATCATTCACAAGCCCTAGTAACTAAACAGTCCATCTTGGGCATTTTTCCCAGTCTACTCCCAGCCTATTCAGACACCCATTTCACTTCCACAACTTTAACAAGGTCAACCCAGAAGGAAAGATAAAATTCAACACTTCTATCGCTACCCTCAGCCCATCATTCGTGAGATGAAGCGTCTTTCCCAACTCCTTTCCCTCACTCCTTAGCTAGGCAAGTATGAATCATTATAAACAAGACCAGGGCGTGAAGACCTGGGTGGGACTTGGTTCAGGGTAGCCAGTCCAGCTAGCATCTTCCTCCCTTAGATTGTCCATTTCCAAAGTCATTGCCTCACTGGACTGCCTGTTCCCTAGTCAGGCAGCGTGTGATCTCTCTGGAGGACCCCTGGTTGATACAGTTCTCTTTTTCAGCAGTCACCAAGAGTGGCACGAAAAGGAAGAAGGCCCTGAGTCAGGGGGGACCAGGATGCCTGACCGGGACGGCTATGCCAATGGTACCGGGAGTAGCGGTGGAGGCCCTGGCGGTGGTGGCAGTGAAGAGGCCAGTGGCACGGGGGCAGGCAGTGGTACAGCCAGCTCCGATGCCATCTGTAGAGACTTCCTAAGGAATGTATGCAAGAGAGGCAAGCGCTGTCGATACCGCCACCCAGACATGAGTGAAGTGTCCAATTTAGGGGTGAGCAAAAATGAATTCATCTTCTGCCATGACTTCCAGAACAAGGAGTGTAGTCGCCCAAACTGCCGTTTCATCCATGGCTCTAAGGAGGATGAAGATGGCTATAAAAAGACAGGAGAACTTCCCCCACGGTTGAGGCAGAAGGTGGCTGCTGGCCTGGGCCTTTCACCAGCCGACCTACCAAATGGCAAGGAGGAGGTCCCTATCTGCCGAGATTTCCTCAAGGGAGACTGTCAAAGAGGAGCCAAATGCAAGTTCCGTCACCTGCAGCGGGACTTTGAATTTGATGCTCGGGGTGGTGGTGTCACTGGTGGTGGGGCCTCAGCAGGCTCCATTCCTCCAGGACGCCGACATGATCTCTATGACATCTATGACCTTCCTGACAGGGGCTTTGAGGACCATGAGCCAGGCCCCAAGCGTCGGCGAGGTGGATGCTGCCCTCCTGATGGTCCTCATTTTGAATCATATGAGTACAGCTTGGCTCCACCTCGAGGGGCAGAGTGCAGGCTGCTAGAGGAGGAGAATGCAATGCTCAGGAAGCGCGTGGAGGAGCTGAAGAAGCAGGTCAGCAACCTGTTAGCCACCAATGAGGTACTTCTGGAACAGAATGCCCAGTTCCGCAATCAGGCAAAGGTCATGACCCTTAGCTCCACTGCACCAGCAACTGAGCAAACTCTGGCACCCACTGTGGGCACTGTCGCTACTTTTAACCATGGCATTGCCCAGACTCACACTACTCTCAGCAGCCAGGCTCTGCAGCCCCGCCCTGTGTCCCAGCAAGAACTGGTGGCCCCTGCTGGAGCACCAGCTGCTCCCCCAACTAACGCTGCACCTCCTGCTGCTCCACCACCCCCACCACCACACTTGAACCCAGAGATCACACCATTGTCAGCTGCTCTGGCACAAACAATCGCCCAAGGAATGGCACCTCCACCTGTCTCCATGGCTCCTGTGGCTGTATCTGTGGCTCCTGTGGCTCCAGTGGCTGTATCAATGGCCCAACCCTTGGCTGGAATCACAATGAGCCATACCACTACTCCTATGGTGACTTACCCCATTGCTTCCCAGAGCATGCGCATCACAGCCATGCCACACTGATCACGTTAATGGACACTCCCTTGGTATAGCCTGTCAGGGCTGGGTCAAGGGGTCTCTACCCACTCCCTTAGCCCTCCTGGGCCCTATCGGAAGGGCTCACTCAACCAGGATGAGAGACTATAAGGAGTATGCTTTTGAGGAGCATTTCCTGAGGTAGGGTTAGGCTGGCATGTTCTCTCACCTGTCTTTTAAGAGGGTCTCGTGTCTTTCCTTCATGCCTAACTCAGGTGGGGCCTTGCATAGAAGTGCAGACTGAAGCCATCAGAGGGGAAGGACTGACTGAGGGGCTGTGTTTTATGGGAAGTAGGGGATAACCCTGGTCTTACCCTCTTGGAAACAGTACAAGTTCAAGTACAGGTTTTAGAAGAAAAAAATTGCCCACCCAAAAGGAAAGCCAGGAAAGATTGAGAGGTGGGTGGCCAGGAGAGAGGTTTCAGCAGTCCTCAGATCATTTGGGGCCTAACTGGGTTGGATAATAGAAAAACTGCTCTGGGGCCCCTGGGAAGGCCGGGACCATAGTACTCCAGCCCAAAGACGAGAGGAGCATTCATTTAACTAGCTTGGCCTGGAAATCTGTAGGGCAGGGCCCACTACTTTCCAAAGAAATAAAAGAATTATTTTTAACAAATGAAGACAGTGAAAACTTGCTTAGATATTGTGTGTGTGAAAGATGGGAGCATAAAGTAGGTCTTATGCCAAAGTAGAATAAATTCTACTTTGGGTAAGCTTGATGGAAGGCAGCAAAAAAAATAGGACCCTTTACAAGACTAGACGGGAAGCTGGGTGTGGTGGTGTCTCCCTGAAATCTCAGCACTCAGGAGACTGAGGCAGAGGATTGCTGAGAGTTTGAGACCAGCCTGGGCTAAACAGTGAGTTCAAGGCCAGTGAGACCCTGTCTCAAAACACCAAATGGGAATTTGGGGAGGGTACTCTGGAGTAAAAGCCACCTAGTCTAGTTTAAAAATAGGCCCATCTGTTTCTGGTCTGCGCTTGCTGTTCACAGGTTGCCTTAGTAACCAGGGCTGCTAGGGTCATTTAGTGAGGCAGGTACTAAGGAGGGTATATATGCTGAAAAATGAAGATGGACTATGTGGTTAAGGGAGCCTACTTGTATTGAAACACAGCAAGGCAGGTGGCAGTTGCTTCTCTGAGTTGTTGATGGCAATGAATGCCCCTCCTACTTTGGTCCTTCAGTACCCAATGCAGTAAACTTTGAAGCCTTGGGAGGTACTGGGAAGAAGGAGATTTGGAGACACAAGCTTCAGGGTTTATCCATTTTTTTTACTTCTCCACTTTGGACTAGGGGTTTTGAAGTCATGTATGGGTTATTAAGGCCAGGGGCCTTCGGAGCCAAACTTCAGTTCTTCCTTAGTTCCTGGCTGATGAAGGGAAAACACCCTTCATCACCCATCATCACCCAGGTGTGAGTCTAATGAGACAGTGGTTTGGGAGTGTAGAGAAAGTGATCCTGCTTTGTGCTTCCTGGGTTGTATTTCCTGCTACCTCTTCTCTTATCTCCCAGGTTGTATAAACCTATGGCTGAAGATGGTGGGCTAGATCAGGTCAGTTGCTTGGGGGAAAAAAGCCAAGTGTGGTGCATGCTCTTGTATTTCCAGCTAGTTCATTTACTTGAATGGAGATTACTTGAGCTCAGGAGTTTAGGGCCAGTCTGAGCAACACAGTAAGACTGTCTCACAGAACAGTCAGTGCCTGCAGGTAAAAATGGGCAAATATTATTTATGTATTTAAAAAACATTGATAAGCTTAATGTTTATTTTCTGGATTAAAAAACATGGTTTATGGTGAGCATTTAGAGAAATATTATAGATTCCAGCATTTCTTTTTTTTTTTTTTTTTGGGGGGGGGTCTTTGTGAGACAGGGTCTCATTATGCAGTTCAAGCTAGCCTTAAACTTGCAGTGATCCTCCTGCCTCAGCCTCCTGAAGACTGGGATTACAGGCATGCATCGCTATGCCAGACTCCAACATGAGTTCTCAATCAGATCCTAACTTTATTTCCTTCTTGCCAAATGTCTCTAAAGAGGTGAATTAGGAAACTGTAGACATCATATGTCTTATATTAATGCATTCCACTTAATGATCACCAGGAATATAAAGTAGCTGTAATTGACCCGAGTTGGGTTTGATGCTGTGAAGGGAAAAGCACCATTGGGAATTGGGGTGTATCTCAGCAAGAGGGTATCTGAGAGGACGTGCACTTAGGTTAAGTAATTTTGCTGATGGGGCAGGGGATTTAGCCCAGCGGCATAAGAACCTGCGTTGCAAGCAGGCGGTCGTGAGTTCAATCCCTGGTACCAATAAAAATGAAAAAGACAAAAAAAAAGTAATTTTGCTGAAGGCTCAAGAAGGGTGTATTCCTTTGGACTCAATTCTGTCAAGGGAAATGGGTCATTCTGTGATTCCCAGTAACAGGGAAATGAAAATATGTCCTGAGTTCTACAAGCTCCATAATGATACCTGAGCCTTAGAAATGGACTGTGATCTGGGTATGGTGGTGCATGCCTGTAATCCCAGGAGGCTGGGGCAGGAGGAATTCTTCAAGTTCAAGTGCTGGACCACATAGTGAGACCCTGTCTCAAAAAAAAAAAAGCAGATTGGGAATGAAACAGTTCTTCTTAGGTTCTCCCTAAATGGAACCATTCCTAAGTTTGGTGCATTTTTCTTTTTTATTGGTACCGGGGATCAAAATCACAACTGCCTGCTTGCAAGGCAGATGCTTATGCCACTGAGCTAAATCCCCAGCCCCTGTCTTGTGCATTTTTCTAAATGTAATTTTTAAATAGGGCCATTAACAAACCAGAAAAGTAGTTTAAAAAAATCTAGCTAAAGAAAGTTTAAGGGGAAAAAAAAAGTCTGAAGGGAAACCCAGTAGATGTCTTCAAATTCTACTCAGTAGGAGAAGGTCCTGTGTTACTGCACTGTAAATAACTGAAATTCTAGAACAGTAGCTAACACTACTCAGGCCACTGAACTGTGAGAGACTTTTTTTTAATTTGAAGTAGTGAAGATTTAACCTAGGGTTTAGCACATGCTAGCCAAGTGCTCTACCATTGAACTACATTCCCAGTTCATTTTAAATCTCATTTTGAAACTCGGTCTCATTAAATTGTCCATATTCCTGAGTAGCTAGGATTACAAGTATGGCCACTATGTCTGGCCCATGTTAGGCACTTTACATACAAAATTTTATTGATCCAATGGGTACTATTACTGTATTCATCTTGCATTGGAGAAAGCAGGCTTTAAAAAATTATCTGAATTACTTCTTAGCCTTTTGGCCAGGATCACTTGCAGCACCTTGTATCAGTATAATATTCTATATCCACATAACAGATTAACACTGTAGAGCAGGATGATGGAACAGGAGCTTGCTTCATGCATTCCTGACACAGACCTGGCATTGATGTACTTCAAAAAACAGTGCAGCTACTGGGTATGCTGGCACACACCTATAATCCCAGGATTTGGGAGGCTGAGGTAGGAAGATTGCTGAGTTTGAGACCAGCCTGAACTATACATAGCAAAACCCTGTCTCAAAAAGAAAATACAGCCCACCTCCTCAGAGGAAATAAATATTTGCAAAGGTCAGGGGAAAAAAATAAATTGAACCAGGCATGGTGATATACAGCTATAATCCCAAAACTCTGGAGAGGTTACAAATTCAAGCCCACGCTAGGCAAATTTAGCAAGATCCTGTTTCAAAATTAAATAAGTAGGCTGGAGATGTAGCTCAGTTCAGAGGGCCTGGGTTTGACCCCCCCCCCCAGAACTACCAAACACAAAAACCTCTATGTATACTGGGTGCAGTGGCACATTCGTGTAATTTCAGCTACTCCAGAGGCTGAGGCAGGAGGATTGCAAATTTGAGGTCAGCAATTTTGCAAGACCCTATCTCAAAACATGTAAAAGGCTAGGGATGTATATAGCTCTGTTAAAGCCCCTGGGTTCAGTCCCTAAAATCCACCTCCCACCCACGCACATACAAAAATCTGCCCAGAATTCTACAATCAGTAAAGTGTGGGCCCAGGAATCTATTCATTCTGACTACAGAATTAGCATAAGTAAATTCTGAGGATCAGCATAGCACGTTGTGGCTGAGACAGCAGGATGGAGTTCCACACCAATCCAGGCTGGGCTGCATAGTGAGACTGTCTTAAAAAAAAAACCAAAAAAGTGATAGAACTAACCAACAGTGGAAGCTTTTTTTTTTTTTTTTTAATCAGTACAGGGTATCGAACTCACAACCGCCTGCTTGCAAGGCAGGTGCTTATGCCGCTGAGCTAAATCCCTAGCCCCAGCTTTTTTTTTTTTTATAGTGAAGATTGAACCCAGGACCTTCACCCTGAGTTGCATCCCGTCTCCCCCCCCCCCCCCCCGCCACCTTTGGTACGACTTTGTGCTTGTCAAGCAGGCGCTTATGCCACTGAGCTAAGTCCCTGGCCCCCTAGTCCTTTTATATAGTTGGTGTTTGGGTTTTTTGGGGGTTTTTTTGGCTTTTGGAGATAGGGTAGTTCAGACTGGTCTTGACTCACTATGCAACCCAGACTGGCCTCAAACTCAGTGATTCTCTCGCCTTGGGGTCCCAAATGTTGGGATTACCGTGCACACTGCCACACCAGGCTGTCCCTTCCATTTTTGTAAATGGACGAGAATTCTGCATCTGACCTCCACCTCTCCTAGAAAACAATTATAGTTTACATATAGAATTTCAAAGCTGGAAAAAAAAGAATTTCAAGGCTGGGCATGATGATGTAAACCTGTAATCCCAGCACTAGGGAGATTGAGGCAAGAGGATCACAAATTTGAGCCCAGCCTGTGTAATTTAGCAACTTAATGAGACCTTGTCTTGAGCAACTCCACTTCGGAACCCTTGTGTCTCAGAGGCTTTCTTTCTCTAAATATATTGTTCCAAAAAAAAAAAAAAAAAAAAAGACTTGTCTCAAAAGAGAGTTGGTGGTTCAGTGTGAAGACCCTGGGTTCAATTCTCCATACCATTAATAAAAAAGCCAGGAAGTGTGGATACTCTCCACTCTTTCCCCTCACTTTGGCCCCACCCTGTAAAACACTTCCTCTCACAAATGGCCATTCCTTCCTGCGCCCATTTACCGCTTATCACCACCAGGGGGAACCTGGAGAGCAAAAATTGTTAATGGGTGGGGATCCACCCTGTTTGTTTATGACTGCAGTGCAGCTGCTGACCGTGTGGCCCTACCCTGTACAATGCCTAAAGTAGGCGAGACTGATGACCTGAACGGGATGATGAAAGGGAGAAATTTGGAAGGGGGAGGCTCCACATGTCACTTTATCAATCCCCTCAGCCCTGGAAACCTCCCTTGTTCTAATGGTTTGCAAATTTCAGTTTTATACAGAGCTTTCAGGGGATTCGTTTTCCCACTGTAATTTTGCCATGTCGGTTGCCAAACAGATCACTTATGTCTTCAAGCCTCTTGTTCCTCTTTCTCTTCATTCAACTCTGGGAATATGGAGAGCACAGGCAGCAAATAGAAAAATGTTCTTTTAGAGTTCTGTACACCAAATGAACCAATCTAAAATACTGGCAGCCCCAGAAAAGTAAAGAAGAGGATGTAAGAAGCTGTAAAGGCAGGAAACTGGGCAGGTTGTTTATTAGTGTTTGTTTTTGTTTTGAGTCAGGGTCTCACTGAACATTCCAAGCTGGCCTCCAACTCACAGCAGTCCTCCTGTCTCATCCTTCCGAGTGTTGGGATTACAGGCATGTGGCAACAGCTCATAAACAGATTTTAAAGGGCTTTGGTGAAACAGCCTGATGAAATCTATGCCCTGCAGAGTAAGATAAGACTTAGCTGCAGATCTAGGCCCTCCCCAATAACCAACCCTAGTTTCCCTGCTGTGTTCCACAGAGTAACACAGTAAGACATACACTACAAAAGGTATTCTGTGGCCAACCCTGTCCCTCCTCAACTTCCAGTTCATCTAGTTCCCAGGAACCTGTAAACAAATCTAGAAAACTAGGAACAATAGTCATCGGTACTTTTTCCTAGCACTTTTTCCTTCCTAAAACCATACAGTACTGTATGTATTCTATACCTGACTGTAGAACTTTTAACTCATAGGAGAAACTGAGCTACTTACTAGTCTTGAGTCCTTATCTTAGTGCCCTGGAAAATCTAATACTTTTTGCTATAGTTAAGCCATCTCTCCTCCCTTTGGAGCTGTTGTTTTGTTTAATACTGAGGACTGAATCCAGGTCCCTCACAGCATCCCCAGCCAATTTATCTCAACTCTGATTTTCTAGGTCTCTCTTGAGTGTACCCAGAGTAGGGGCTAGGGATGCATTCCACAGGGTTGGCTTACATTCCAAATAGGGTCATTTTATTTCCTTTTGTAAAGGGGGCCAGAAAAAAAACGGGTAAGAAATGTGCTTGGAGTATCAAAAGTAGGGAAAGTTGATAAATGAACATGTAGAAATCCAAGACAAATCCTGCAAAACCATCTGAATGATGAAAGGAAAATTCTTGGCCATCCAAAAACTTAATTTTGCAAATCCAACTTCTTAAAATCTAGAAATTGGAGGTCCAGCTCTGCATGATGTCATGCCACAGGCGTTCCAGTTCCAAGTGGGAGGTGCACTTGGTCCCGCCTCTCTTTAAATTGTACACCGCCCCTACCTTACTTTATGACCAATCAAAGATTGCACATCCAGGGCCTTACCGTCTTTTCCCGCCATCCCAGACCGCCCATTTTGGCACTCAGGTCCAATCAGGGAAGCCCTACCTATCGGAGGTCCTCCTATCCCCCCCCCCCGCAGTAGAGAGGCGGAGTTTCAACCTTTTGACTCCACCTTAGTGTCTGCGGCGCGGACCAACCCAAACCGTCTGGGGGTGTGGCCTGGGGTCCCCTCCCCCACACCGGGGCTCATGGTTTGTAGCGGGGGAGCTGGCTGCAAGCGAGGCCAGCTCCCGAGGTCTGGTGTCTGGCGGTGCTCTCAGAAGTGGCACCATGGAGCGCTCTCAGGGAGAGGGCTCCAGCCCCAGCCCCATGGACCAGCCCTCTGCTCCCTCCGACCCCCCAGACCAACCGCCTGCGGCTCACGCGAAGCTGGACCCGGACTCCGGGCTCCCACCTGCTGGCCCTGGCGCGAGGAGTGAGGCGCTGGCGGTCCTGACTTCGTTCGTGCGGCGCTTGTTGGTACTGGTGCCAGTGTACCTGGCTGGAGCAGCAGGACTCAGCGTGGGTTTCGTGGTTTTCGGCCTCGCCCTCTATCTGGGCTGGCGCCGGGTCCGAGATGAGAAAGAACGCAGTCTCCGGGCGGCGAGACAGCTACTGGACGACGAGGAGCGGCTCACGGCCAAAACGCTGTACCTGAGCCAGCGAGAGCTACCTGCCTGGGTGAGCCACCCCACTCGCCCCACTGCATCCCGGGGCCCTCTGTCTGGGTTCGCGCCCCATCGTGGGACAGTGAGTCCCGCTAGCCGGCCGGGACGTGCCACTCTGGGGCCGGCCGTACAACACTCCTCGCCCACCCCTGCTGCACGCCAGGATTAGATCTTCCGCAGACTGGATTTTCCTTCGCTCTCGGGCCAGGGCAGTGGAACATCTGGGCGCCTGGTCCGGCCGAGGCGAGCTCTTGTAACCCGGCTGTCGCTTGCGCTGCTCCCGGCTTCGGCCGCTGCGCTGTTGCTGGCCTGCCCCTGGCTATTACAGTCCGGGCCACCTCTCGGAGATTCCCTCGCTTCCCCGCCCTCCTCAAGACTTTTTACCCACTTCAGGCCATAAGCTTTGCCTTTTCCCCACTCTTGTCATCGGGCACCCTGGGGGGGACCCCACCCTGGGGGCATTGCTTAGCGGAGCCCTAGCGCCTGGAGCGACTTTGCGCTGTCGCCTTCCAGCCTCAAGCATCCGGGCTGCAGCGCGGCGGAGGCGGTTGCTGGGCTGAGGGAGGGGGTGCCCGGAAGAGGGTAGTGCGGCTGCTGCAGTTCCCGCTTCCCTCACTGCACCGGTCCCTGCCGGCCCCACCCTTTTCCGGACTGTGGGCTGCGCTGGCTGCGTTGACCTAGACCCTTCTGTCTGTGCGCGGTCTTCTGGGCAGAAGCGGACGTCTTCTCTGGGCTTTGCAAAGTCAGAGCCCGTTATGGCCCCTCCCTGCCACCCTTCCTGCCCCTCCTAGCAGCCGTTTAAATGTCGGGGGGATGCAGAGTGACAGAAGAGAAGGAAGCACGTTGACCCTAGGCAGGCACAGTCTAGCTTCCTAGACCCCGCACTAGAGAGGAGAGAGGAAAAAAGGTCCTGGGAACTTGGAGCTCCGACAGCAACTGTCTTTTCCTCCTACTCTTCCTCTTGGAAATTAATCCCCCTTCTATTACAAAGGACAGGTGTCCTTTCCGTAAAAGGTGTCACACAGCAAGAAAGAAGAAAGAAAGAAAGCCAGAGCCTAAAAAGTTCCAGTCCTTCCCTGTCAAAGATTTCTTTTCTTCACCTCCCTGGCATTAGAACCCCAGTCCAGCAAGAGGAGGAGGGAAGTCTGGACAAAGGAACCAGGATTCCCTCCAATCCCAGCTCTCCCCCTCCACGAAGAATGTGCCCTTCTCCTCCCTGCTTCTCTTCCCAGCCCCACAGCTGTCACTTCACTATCCAAAGAGCATCTTCATGTGGGCCTTGTTAGAGAGCTCAGTGCCCCAACTTCTGAGGCATGAAACCTCAGGACTCTCGGCCTCCTTGGGTGAGGAAAGCTGTGGCAGTTCCCGCCCTTTTGCATCCCATGGCACCTTAGGCGATGCAGGCAGAGGTGTGCCTGTGGTCACTGTCTGACTTACCCCTGCAGGTCAGCTTCCCAGATGTGGAAAAGGCTGAATGGCTAAACAAGGTGAGAACTGATCAGGTTTTTATTTTTCATGGGAGGAAAATGAGAATTCATTCTTCTTGCCAGGTCCTGTCACACTTCAATTCCAGGCTGAGCCTGGTCCCCAGTGCTGCCCATAGAGAGTATTCTGACAGAATTTCCTTTCAGAGGAGAGATGGGGATCTTCTCTAACCATGTGTCCTCACTTCCAGATTGTAGCCCAGGTCTGGCCCTTCCTGGGACAGTACATGGAAAAGCTTCTGGCTGAAACTGTGGCACCAGCTGTTCGGGGATCTAATCCCCATCTGCAAACATTTACATTCACACGAGTGGAACTGGGAGAAAAGGTATTGTTGGAAGAACTGAGACCGGGAGGGGGTGCAGCTCAGAAGACACTGAGGTATGCCTCCCTTCCCTCCTGGCTATCTCAAGGTCTGCTCTCTCTCTAGCCATTGCGCATCATAGGAGTAAAGGTCCACCCTAACCAAAGAAAAGATCAGATCCTGCTGGATTTGAACATCAGGTAGCACCACTGCCTGCTTCCCTTTTGGGGGTCCTGATCACTCCTGGCTACTTCACTGCCCTAACCCCTGCACTGGCCTAATACTAACCATTACTCTCTTCCTCACCAACCCCCAGCTATGTAGGTGATGTGCAGATTGATGTGGAAATAAAGAAGTATTTCTGCAAAGCAGGAGTCAAGGGCATGCAGGTGGGACAGATGCCAGAGCCTCCCATAATAGGGAATTTTCGCCCTAAGTTTCATGGGATATGGGAAAGCAGGAGGTTGTTAAAGTCAAGGGTGGGGAAATACTTCAGTGTTTTCTTCTTGCCCTAGCTACATGGCATCTTGCGGGTGATTCTCGAGCCACTCATGGGAGACCTTCCTATTGTGGGGGCTGTGTCAATGTTCTTTATCCGACGCCCGGTAAGGAAAATCATTAAGAGGGATGGGGAAGCAGAGGAAACAGAATTGGGATGGTGACAGTAGGTAGCTATGGAGAATAAGAATTGACAAAAGGCCAGTGAGTTTGACAACCATGGGATGGGTGTGACTATGTCCCATAGGATCTGTCCTGACCCCTCCCGCTTTCCTTCTAGACTCTAGACATCAACTGGACAGGGATGACCAACCTGCTGGATATCCCAGGACTTAGGTATCAAGGACTCATTGAGTATTTGCTAAGTATTCCAGGCCTAGCTTGAGGGTATGGTGTTCCAAAGCAGTAAAAGATGCGGCCTGTGCCCTCTGAGACCTCCACTGTAGACAAGGGGTTTCCTACTGTGATTTCTCTGCAGGAGCATGCATGTTAGTAGGGAATAAAGAGGACTGAACACTGCTCAAACAGGAGAAAGAAGAGCAGGAAGAGCAGCCAGGGGTGGCAGTGAAGTAGGTGGGGAGTTGGGATAGAAGAGTGACCAAAAGGATTTTCAAGAAAGACTTCCTTATAAGCTATCGGTCTGTCTTGCAATGGGAAGCAGTTGGGTATGGAGAACTGAAAGTTGGGGTCAATGTTCCTTTTCTACCCACCCCCCATGCAGCTCTCTGTCTGACACTATGATCATGGATTCCATCGCTGCCTTCCTTGTGTTGCCCAACCGACTGTTGGTGCCTCTCGTGCCTGACCTTCATGATGTAGCCCAGTTGCGCTCTCCTCTGCCCAGGGTATGCCCCTCCCTGATTAACTAGCTCTTTCTCTTCAGAATGCCATGGTGGCTCCTTTGTTTCTGACCCATCAATTCCTAACTTCAGGGCATTATTCGGATTCACCTGCTGGCTGCTCGAGGGCTGAGTTCCAAGGACAAATATGTGAAAGGCCTGATTGAGGGCAAGTCAGACCCCTATGCACTTGTGCGTGTGGGAACCCAGACATTCTGCAGTCGTGTCATCAATGAGGAGCTCAACCCTCAGTGGGGAGAGACTTACGAGGTATTAAGCAGAGGAAGAATGGAGCTGGAGGAAATGAAGAGGGCTTCTTGAAGCTGTGGGAAAGATGCTGAGGAGCCTTCCAGCTGCAGCCCATGAGACCTTAGCCCTCTGTGTGCTGCAGGTGATAGTACACGAGGTCCCGGGACAGGAGATTGAAGTGGAGGTGTTTGACAAGGATCCAGATAAGGATGATTTTCTGGGCAGGTGAGTCTCAGTCTGTGTTATGATTTGAAGCTTCAGTGCTCCTAAGGTCCCAGAGGTAACTGTAGTTGTTTTCTGGATCTGGAACTCTTCTATTATTTTTCTTCCCCATCCTAAATAACTTTGCACACACACACACACACACACACACACACACACACACACACACATGCACGTGCAAGTATCTCCTAAGTCTAAGGAGAAGGGAGTCTGAGCTCTGTAGGTGCTTCTGGGTGGTTGAGTAGAGGACCACTGCCATGCACCAATGACATTGCATCCTTTTCTCCTCTCACTGCTACCTCCTCTCCTTGACCCCAGAATGAAGCTGGATGTAGGGAAGGTGTTACAAGCTGGAGTACTGGATGACGTAAGTTGGGAGAAATGGACAACAGTGGGATTGACCTCCTGCTTTGGGCAGACAGTAGCCTCTGTGTTGGTGGGGAAATGGATGGGTGGATATCTGATCACTACTGGACCTCTCTTCTACTTCTCCCTTCAGTGGTACCCTCTACAAAGCGGCCAAGGCCAAGTTCACTTAAGGTTAGAATGGCTGTCACTTTTGCCAGATGCAGAGAAACTGGAGCAGGTAAGTCACATGGGTAGAAGCAAGAACAGGGATTGGGAGGACCAAGGCTTGACCTCTCTGCCTCCTGCCAGGTTCTACAGTGGAATCGGGGAGTCTCCTCTAAACCAGAGCCTCCTTCAGCTGCCATCCTAGTTGTCTACCTGGATCGAGCCCAGGATCTTCCTGTGAGTTTGGCTTGATGGGGGCAGGGAGCCCAGGGTGCAGCAATGTCACATCTTTACTTGCTGAGGATGCAGCTGTCCCTGCCTGGCTTTCTCCAGAAGTAGAAACATAATGCAAGGATTCCAAAGAAGGGATCCGATCCACCTCAGGGAGGAGACTCTGCTGTGATGCTGCTTTCCTTCCTAAGATTGTAACATCTGAATTCTGCTCCCACAGCTGAAGAAGGGGAACAAGGAGCCCAACCCCATGGTACAGCTGTCAGTTCAAGATGTGACCCAGGAGAGCAAGGTGAGGATGCATTGTGGGGGGCATCATGGAGTAGGAGGAAGATTTTTGGGGGCAAAGTCTCCCCTTTACAGTGTTTCCAGTGCAAAGATTGGCTAGAGAAACAAGAATGGTGCTGTGGTCTCCACACATTGCCTGTCCTCCCCATCTCCAGGCTGTCTACAACACCAACAGCCCAGTGTGGGAAGAAGCTTTCCGCTTCTTTCTGCAGGATCCTCGCAGCCAGGAGCTTGATGTTCAGGTGAGATAATCACTTATTTGCCTTATTCTTTCTTCCCAGATCTGTGTTATTGTGCGCGCACGCGCGTGTGTGTGTGCGTGCGTGTGTGTGTGTGTGTGTGTGTGTGTGTGTCTTACTGAGGACTGAACCCAGAAGCTCTCTACCATCAAGCTATACCCTCAACCCTTGCTGAGATGCTGTCATACTAAGATGTTCAAGCTGGCATCAAACTTGTGATCCTCCTACCTCAGCCTCCCATGTAGCTGGGACTACAGCTTTGTGTCACCATGCTGGCTGAATCCTATAGTCTTTTTTCTTTTTTGTGGTGCTGAGAATAGAACCCAGGTCTTGCATATGCTAAGTAAGTGTCCTACCATTCAGCCATACCCTCATCCCTCATGACCTCTATCTATCTCTAATCCATCTACTAGACTTCTCCTCCCAACCCACCCTGGTCTTCCCCTGTGCCCTACCTATCTGTCTAGAATCAAGTTTGGGTTTTTTGATACTAGGCATCAATCTCTTTTTTTTTTTTTTTTTTGGTCTTTTTTCATTTTTATCAGTACTGGGGATCAAACTCAAGACTGCCTGCTTGCAAGGCAGGCGCTTATGCTGCTAAGCTAAATCCCCAGTCCCTCTAGGCATCAATTCACCACCTCACACTTGCCAGGCATGATTTGTTTTTAATGTTACTGGGAGTTGGGTCTAGGATTGCACTCCTAGAATCAGTTTTTATATTTGCTGTTGCATACTTATTTTTATTATACATATTTTTGTTCATTTGTTTTTTGTTTTTTTGAGGGAGGGTCTTACCGTATAGTTCAGGTTGGCCTCAAACTCATGGCATTCCTACTGCCTTAGCCTCCCAAGTGCTGGGACTACAGGCGGGTGCTACTATGCCCAGCTTGTTTGCTTGTTTTTGAAACAGGGTCTCACTATATAGTCCAGACTTACAGTGACCTCAAACTCACAGAGATCCTCTTGCCTCAGCCTTCCAAATTCTGGGATTATAGGCACATACCACCACTAACCAGCAGTGAGTTCAAGGCCAGCCTGAACTGCAAGGTGACACCCTGTCTCAAAAAGACCAAAAAAAATTTTTTTTAATTAAAAAAAAATGGGAGGGGCAGGTTTTGTTTGTTTTCTGTTTTTTGTTTTGAGACATGGTCTTGCTATATTGTTCAGGCTGGCAATGAACTCACTATGCTCCCCAGGCTGGCTTCCAGCTCACAGTGATCCTCTTGCCTCAGCCTCCTGAATGCTGTGATTACATATGTGCGCCACCTCACCTAGATGCCCCAGTAAGATTAACACTCCATGTTTTAAAAGTCATAGAAAAGCATGGCACAGTGTCTGCCTTCACAGTGCTTACTGGCCAGTTTGATAGATGAGCTACACACATATCAAACTATCCTAGAACATGAAATATTAACTAGCAGGAGCAAGATATTCATGGTATGACAAGGATGGTCACAGAAAGGCACTGAGGCTGAAGTCATGAGAGATTTTGTAAAGGAAGTAGGATTTTTATTAAGGCTTGAAGCTCTATCTACTTAAACAGGCAGAGGGAAGGAGCATGAGAACTTCCTGAGCAGCAGGAAGAGAATGACCAAAGGCAGAAGGGTCCCAGAGTGAGGAGAGGCCTGGGTAGAGATACTGAGTAGAAGAAAAGGTTTGTGACAGCAGGGAGAGATGTGAAACAGGCGCCATGTTGCCATTTCCGAGCACTCCTTTCCCTGACCCTTCCCACATTGCCTCCACTGCTGTCTGTAGGTGAAGGACGACTCCAGAGCCTTGACATTAGGGGCGCTGACTCTGCCTCTCGCCCGCCTGCTCACTGCCTCAGAACTCACCCTGGATCAGTGGTTCCAGCTCAGCAACTCTGGCCCAAACTCCAGGCTCTACATGAAACTGGTCATGCGGGTATGGAAGTGAGGAGGCACCAGGTGGGGAAGGCCTGTGGATTCCTCGGCATCAGAGAATTAGATAAGAGCACCCAGCAGATACATGGAAGTGTTCATTGATCTGGCTAGGAGGAGGGACAGTGTGGGAGTTGGGTAGGGTGGAAAAAACATCTAGGAATGAACCTGGCCAAGGCAGGGGATCTGGTGTCCCAGTCAGAGTCCCTGCTCTGCCCACCAACCCTTACATGCATGGCTGCTGGATGCACCTGCTTGAGTGGACAATCTCATACCTTTCCCAGATCCTTTACTTGGATTCATCACAAATCTGCTTCCCCATGATGCCTGGCACGGCTGGGCCTTGGGAGCTAGACAGTGAAAGCCCCCCAGCAGGCAGCAGTGTAGATGTTCCGCCTCGGCCCTGTCACACTACCCCCGACAGCCACTTTGGGACTGAGGTGAGTTGTTATCTCAAGACCTTTAGGTCTGTTTGCCCACTTGAAGTGTGCACAGCATGCTCAGAACTAATTCTGAGAAGTCTCTTTGACTGCTCTCTGGTCCCCCATCTGTTTCTTTTGCAGAATGTGCTTCGGATTCATGTGTTAGAGGCCCAGGACCTGATTGCCAAAGACCGTTTCTTGGGGGGATTGGTGAAGGGCAAGTCAGACCCCTATGTCAAACTAAAGCTGGCAGGACGAAGCTTCCGAAGCCGTGTCGTTCGGGAAGATCTCAACCCTCGCTGGAATGAGGTTTTTGAGGTCAGAACTGAGTGGCCAGGACTCAGTCTGTTCTTCCTTCAAGCTCCTAGAGTGGTCCAAAAACCACAGGATTCAGTGACTGGGGGGTCAGGGGAGTGGAAAATGCAGTTATTTGGGGAAGACAAGGAGAAAATTCTCTTTCATCTGCACTGTTTTCTCCTGCTAGGTGATCGTCACATCAATTCCAGGCCAAGAGTTAGAGGCTGAGGTCTTTGACAAGGACTTGGACAAGGATGACTTTCTGGGCAGGTAAGGTCTGGAGGAGCAAACAGGCTGGGCCTCTAGGGTTCATCGAGCTTGAACATTTATCTCGTCTTTCTCTTTCTCCACAGATGTAAAATGAGTCTCACCACAGTCCTAAATAGTGGCTTCCTGGATGAGGTGAGCATAAGATTAGAATGGATAGTTGCTTCTGACCTTGACCCAAACCTCATCCTCTTTGCTTCCATCCCCTGACATTTGAGTCTTACCCCACGTGCTCCCACAGTGGCTGACTCTGGAGGACGTCCCATCTGGCCGCCTGCACTTGCGCCTGGAGCGTCTGACCCCTCGGCTCACTACTGCTGATTTAGAGGAGGTGTGTATGGGGTGCTGGAGAAAAGAAGGGAGCCAAGTTGGGGTGGGCAGGGTGAGCCCTTCTCTCAGTTTCCAAAGCCCCAGGTGGCAGCTACCAGCCTAGCCTATCTCGTGCCCTCCCCAGGTGCTGCAGGTGAATAGCCTGATTCAGACACAGAAGAGTGCGGAGCTGGCAGCAGCCTTGCTGTCTGTCTATCTGGAGCGGGCAGAGGACCTACCAGTGAGCTGTTCCCCCACCCCATAGCTCCTTGTCTTTCTCCACCTCCCTCAGGTTGGACGCTTCTCACAAATTTGGAATAGTAAATGGCACCTCTCCCCAATGGTGGTGCTAGGGTGTGAGGATCCTCCAAGGCCACAAGGTGGTAGCTGTCCGGGAAAAAAGGAGACACAGTGGATAGCTGTGGCTGTAATTTGTGAGGGGAGGACCTGACTGACTAGGTCCAAAATTTAAGACTAACAGTATTCTCTTTCTAGCTCCGAAAAGGCACCAAGCCTCCCAGCCCTTATGCTACTCTTACTGTGGGGGACACGACTCATAAAACTAAGGTATTAGGAAATGTCTCAGAGTTAAGAATGGGAGGGAAGCCAGGTGTGGTGGCTGCGTAATGAGTTCAAGGCCAGTCTGGACTATGTAGGGAGACTTTGTCTCAAAGAAAGAAAGAAATGAGGGGCTGGGGATTTAGCTCAGCGGCATAAGCACCTGCCTTGCGAGCAGGCGGTAGTGAGTTCGATCCCCGGTACCAATAAAAATGAAAAAGACAAAAAAAAAAAAAAAAAAAGAATGGGAGAGGAGAGGGAATGCCTGGCATGGTGGCAAATGCTGGTTCTATAATCCTAGCATTCTGGGAAGGAGGCTGAGGCAGGAGGATTGCAAGTTGAAGCCCAGCCTGGTCAAGGAAAAAAAAAAAAAAAACAGAAACAAAAAGTGGGACAGAAAGGAGGAAGAGTAGAGATTGTGTCAACCACTAATCATAACCTTTCATCTCCGTCAGACTGTTTCCCAGTCTTCAGCCCCTGTGTGGGATGAGAGCACCTCCTTTCTCATCAGGAAGCCACACACCGAGAGCCTGGAGCTGCAGGTATGGAAAATGCACTCCACAGACATGGCAGATTCCCACCCAGATCAGTACAGGGCTGTCAGAGCTGAAAGATCTAAGTCTTGCTGAGCATGATGGCACAGCCCAAAATCCTAGCACTTGGGAGGCTGAGTCCTGAAGGAGCTCATACTCCACTTCTTGAGAAAAATAACCAGAAAATACTCTACCCCAAATCCAAGTGTTGGGCCGTGAACCCAAGGGTTAAATAATTTATCAAGGCCTTTGCCTCTGGTCACAGTCTTCTTGCCCCGCAGGTGCGGGGTGAGGGGACAGGCACCCTGGGCTCATTATCGCTGCCCTGTTCGGAGCTCCTGGAGGCCGAGGGGCTCTGCCTGGACCGATGGTTCACACTCACCAATGGCCAGGGGCAGGTGCTACTGAGAGCACAGCTAGGGGTGAGTGTGCCAGGAGACATGGGCCACCAGGGGGAGGCTGGGGAGGGCCTCTGTGGCCAAGGGGTACTTAGGAGGCTGGGAATAAAGAGCTGTGTCCTGACTGCAAGGGGCCTAGAGAACTCACAGCCTTCTTCTTCCAGATCCTAGTGTCCCAGCACTCAGGCGTGGAAGCCCACAGCCACAGTCACAGCTTCTCCTCTCTGGCCGAGGAGCCAGAGCTCTGGGGAAGACTCCCTCATGCCACCACCTCAGCCCCAGAGCTCCGACAGCGCCTCGTCCACGGTGACGGGTAAAGGACTGGACAGGAGGTGGCATGCGGGCAGCATATAAAATGAGTTATGAGTTCCTTAGGTGTCACCCTGTCCCAGACCTGTGACCATCTCTCCACAGCCCCCCTGAGGCAACTGTTGGACCCCTGGGCCAGGTGAAGCTGACTGTGTGGTACTACGGTGAGGAGCGAAAGTTGGTCAGCATTGTCCACAGCTGCCGGTGAGCCCCTGCCCTCCTGCCTCAGGTGCCCTCCAGCTCTGCCTTTGCTTACGCATCACTACCTCCCCTTGTCACAGAGCCCTTCGGCAAAATGGACGGGACCCCCCTGACCCCTATGTTTCACTGTTGCTACTGCCAGACAAGAACCGAGGCACCAAGAGGAAGACCTCTCAGAAGAAGAGGACCCTGAATCCTGAATTCAATGAACGGTCAGGCAGTGGGCATCTGAGTGGGGACGGGAGGCTTGCAGCAAACCTGTGGCCCTAACACCCACCTCTTGCCCAGGTTTGAGTGGGAAATGCCCATGGACGAGGTGTTCAGGCGAAAGCTGGATGTCTCAGTGAAGTCTAGTTCCTCCTTCATGTCCAGAGAGCGTGAGCTTCTAGGGAAGGTGAGGGCCAGGCATGGGTAGGGCAGGGGTCCCTGTTAAAGACAAAGCAAACTGGGTGACACCCTGGAGGTGACACTGTCTCCTGTCGGGGTTTGGGACCGGAAGTGTGCGATGACAGATATGGTCTTTGGATAAGTCAAAATAATGCCCTGTGCTTGCCCTCCGCCCACAGGTGCAGCTGGATCTGACTGAGATTGACCTCTCTCAGGGTGCAGCCCAATGGTAAGCAGACAATGTAATAATCTGAGCTGAAAACCACTAATTCCATTAGGAGGCCTGGAACTGTGTCTCATTTATAAAAGGGGTGAAGAGTCCTCATCCCTCTGAGCCCTCTCTTCTTTCCCTAGGTATGACCTTCTGGATGACAAGGACAAGGGCAGCTCCTAGAAGCTGGCAGTGACCAGCCTGACCCCACTCCATTTCTTGCCTTGCCTCTCACCATGTCCACATCAATGCGATGAACCCAAAGCTAGGGCCTCAGGGCTGAGCCTGTGTCCTCTGGCCCTTTTGCCCTCAGGCCCATACTGTGGCCTTTGCCTAACCAAAGAGAAGGGCCCTGTGTTCTCCTTTACTGTCCAGCCTTCATCTTCAGGCTCTTGGGGCAGGGCCTGAGCTGGCTATTTCCTCCTCTGCTTGCACACTGTTCTCCCAAGTCTCCAGGGCCTCATACCTGTGCCTGGCCACTGGCAGCACTAGCAGTGGCATTAGCTTACGCCAAATAGATTCTGATGGGGCAGCTTCCTACCTACTGTGAGCAGTCAGTGGGTGGACATGTGTGGAAAGAAGACAGCTAAGCTCCTGAGCTGTGAGCCTCTTGCCCTACTGCATGTAGCAAACATACAGCGAATTAGGCATGTCCAGTTCTGTCCCCACCTTCATTGAGCATGTCCTGAAAACACAACTGCTATGATGACAGCCCTGATGGTGAATCAGGAACACTTCCATTCTACCTAAACCTTCAGGTGTGGATGTGGAGCCTTGGAGGCCTTGGAGGACTCAGGACAGCAAAGCCAATGTTTTTGTCCAAGTGCCTGAGTTATAAACTCACTGACTAGAACTGAATCTGATACTTTTGCACCTACTCTGTCAATCCATTGTATCTTATATTAAACGTTATACTCAAACCAGCTGTGATATTTTCCTTCAATGGGAATCTGGTAGCACACACTTGTAATGGTGGGATGCTGAGGCAGGAGTTTCACTGAGAGTTTGAGGCCAGGGGCTGGGGATTTAGCTCAGCGACATAAGCGCCTGCCTTGGAAGCAGGCAGTCATGAGTTCGATCCCTGGTACCGGTAAAAACAAAAAAGACCAAAAAAAAAAAAAAAAAAGAGAGAGAGAGTTTGAGGCCAGCCTGGGTTACATAGTGAGACCTTGCCTCAAAAATAAACAAAAAGAAATGAGACTCTAACCTGCTCATCAGATGTTTACTCCAACTGTCAGAGGCCTTCATCCATTTTGTAAATCAGGTCACTTTAACAGACCCAATAAAATGGAGTCAGCAAAAGCACCATTCCTGTGGAGGTCAAGGGCCTGTATGAGGGGCCTGCTGAGGTAAAACGAAGTCATGTGATGAATGGTACTTGAGTAATTTGTCTGCTGACCATTGTCATCTTACAGGCTCCCTCGGTGAAGGACCCTAAGCCCTGACAAACCCAGAAGCTCTGGGCTACAGCACAGGCTCATGTCTGCTGTCAGGTAACACAGCTACACACAGAGGGCCTCAAGGCCATCTAACAAGCAGTTGAGTATCTCACACCCATCCCGATATGTTCTCCTGGAACTCTGCTCCTTGCAGGAACTTTTTGGGAATACAAGCTCTGGGGGTTGTGCTTTCCTGTCCTGTGACGTGAGAAAAGGACATTCAAAGTTACCACTGGAACAGGAATGTGGGAATTTCCTAATGTCTCAAAAGGACTTTTACTACCATCTCTAGACATAAAAACTTTAGGGTCCTCTCTGCTATGAGAAGACTCAGGAAAGGATTAAGTTCAGTTCTCCAGATTCTCAAAATTATCTTCATTGGTAAAAATGGAATTTAGAGTTGGGCATCGTTGTACACACTTACAATCCTAGCACTTGGAAAGCTGAGACAGGAAGATTGTCAAGAGTTCAAAGTCAGGGTCGTGAGTTTGAACCCAGGTACCACAAAAAAAAAAAAAAAAAAAAAAAAAAAAAAAAAAGTTCAAAGTCAGAAAACCAGGCATGGTGGCACATCCCTGTAATCCCAGCACTTAGGAGGCTGAGGCATGAGGATTGCTGCAAGTTCAAGGTCAGCCTGGGCTATAATAGTTTAGTGGCAGGCTGAACTATATGGCAAAAACTGTATGTCTCAAAAAAACAAATAAAAAAAAAGTTCAAAGTTAGCCTCAACTAAGAGACCCTTTCTCAGAAAACAAAGGGTCTTGCTTTGCAGTTCAGGCAAACTATGTAGCCCAAGCTGGCCTCATGGCACTCTTCCTACCTCAGTCTCCTGAGTGTCATGATTACAAATGTGCACCACCACATCCCACACAGATAAACCTGACTAAAATGCACAGTGTCCCCAACTTAGCTGCTATGTTTTCAGAGATCCCTCTATTCTTTTCTGCTTCCTTTGCCATCCTCCTTCTCACCAACTGTTGCAGTCAGGGCTTGTGAGGAGAACAATTAGAATCGGCACAATTTATAATATTATTTTATGATGGTCACTCAGAGTTTGTGTGTGTTTTTTTATGTTTGTTTTTTTTTTTTTATCGGTACCGGGGATCGAACTCACGACTGCCTGCTTGCAAGACAGGCGTTTATGCCGCTGAGCTAAATCCCCAGCCCCAATGGTCACTCAGAGTTAACACAAGGAAGTGCAGGAAATCTGTCCACAACACTAAAGACCCAGAATATTCAGTCAAGGCCCTGGATCCCACCACAATGTCTTGCATGAGTCCAGATGAAGACCTAGAGCCCATGACAATGCTTCCCACAAGTCCAACTGGAAGTCTAGAGCCCATGAGAAAGACTCATGCCATAGATCTGCGCTGGGAGGGCTCAAAGGTTAGTGAAAGCTAGAAAGTCTGTGCCAGCAGGATAAAGGAGCTGCGCTGGTAGGTTGAGGGTTTTACACTGGAGCTAAGAAGTCATGCTCAAAATAAGAACCAGGGCTGCCCTGAAAAGCACCACAGTCATCCTCTGAGACACAGAGGTCCCAAGCTCCTCCAATGATCAGTCAAGGAGTGCATGCCAGAAAACCAGCGACAAGCTTTTCTGGCGATTAAATGGCACAAATCTTCCCCTGCAGAGCACTGCTGGATATAAGGACCAGAGCTCCCCCAAAGTGAACTGTAGTCATTCCCACCAAGTTTCCAAGCTCCTCTGAGGACAATGGTTGAGCTCACACTGGGGAAGCTATTCATGATGAGCTCCTCCAGGAGAACTAATGATGGGGAGCTCCTCCAGGAGAACTAATGACTCAAACAGCAACGCGTAGAAGAACCCAAAACACCTCACTCATCTTCTCCACGTCTCTGTTTATGCTGGCATCTTTCCTCAGATGGGCCATCTACACTCAACACCATGCTGATTTAATTCAGCTGGTGCTAAGTTGATCATCAGGTTTCTTGGGTTTTTTTTTGTCTTTTTCCTTTTTTTATTGGTACCGAGGATCAAACTCACGACCACCTGCTTGCAAGGCAGGCGCTTATGCCGCTGAGCTAAATCCCCAGCCCCAACCATCAGGTTTTAATCCACGACACCAATTTAGAAGAATCCCAAGCACTAGTGTTTCCTTGACTGTTCCAAACCTTACGGGGAGAAACTCCAAAGCAGGATTTTAAAAATCTTAAAATTTTAAGGTATCTTAAAATTTTGAGGTCTCTTCTGTAATTATTACGCACTGAGCACATGGCCCAAGGCCTGCTGTTCCTGCTGGCAGATAATACAACCAGTGATTTACTTACTGTTGGATTTTTAAGAAAACACGCTTGGGCCAGGGATATAGCTCAGTGGCACAGCGCCAACCTGGCAAGTGTCAGGTCCTGAGTTCAGTTCCTGGTACCAAAAAAATAAACACTTTTGATCTACTTCATTGCTTTAACCATATTTATGGAAAACTAGAAAAAAAGGCATAATCTCTGAAAGCTTTTTTTTTGTTTTGTTTTTTGTGGGGTTTTTTTGTACAGGGAATTGAACTTACAACCTTGCATTTGCCAATCAGGCACTATGCCACTGAACTATAGTCCCAGCCTCACAGCCTCTAAAGGGGTCCCTACTTTTTTTTTTTTTTTTTTTTTTTTTTTGCATTGTACTGCAGCTTGAATCCAGGACCTCACATAGGCAAGTGCTCTGCCATCGATTAATATCACTAGTTCCCTAATTGTAGCAAGTTCAGGATATATACAGAAAGAGTACCAATTTATATATTGAGACACAATTCAATACATGATTGTACTTACGTATACAAAGATGCAGCAAATTAAAGGTCATTAAACAAATGTATTTTGTTTATTTGATTTTTGAGACAGAGTCTCACTATGTAGTTCAGGCTGGCCTTGAATTTGTGGAGGTCCTCCTGCCTCAGCCTCCCAAGTGCTGAGATTATAGATACATGCCAACATGCCTGGCCTTTTTTTTTTTTTTTTTTTTTTTTTTGAGGCAGTATGTAACCAAGTTAACAAGGTTGGGTTGCTTGGAATTTAACATCCTCCTGACTCAACTTCCAAGTAGGTGGGGCTATAGGTGTGTGAAACTGTGCCTTTCAGGTTTATAGTTCTTTACAGCAGTCTTGTACTTATATTTCCGGTAATACCCAGCTAGCGAAATAGTGCATAAATCTTTGCCCCATGACAATAAAATTGGTAGGTAGAGAGTGTTGCTTGAGAAAGGGCTGACTTAGAGCAGTAATAAATGACAGTTGTTTCTGGGTGTGGTGGTCCCAGCAGTGAAAGGATTGAAGCATCTGAACTACTTGAGTTATGGCCAGCCTGGGTCACATCTGAATTCAAGGCTAGCTTCAACTATATGGCAAGTCCCTGTTTGAAACAAAACAAAGAAAAAATAACAATTGTTAGGCTATGAGGAAAGATGCAGAGTAATACAAAAGTAGGCAAAACTTTGCCTGTTGGTGACATTTTTTTTGTTGTTGGTGGTGACATTTTTATAATGATCAGCCTCAGAGACTATGCAGGAAACTATATTTTCATGTAATGCTGGTGGAAAAACAGAAGATGCACACAGTATAATCTCAGAACGCAGTTTGGAAGAATACAGCAAAAATATTAAAGTACAGAAATTGATCCAGCAGTTCCACTTATCCTAATGAAATCATTATCTCTGATGTGGAGGTAAACACCTGGAATCCCAGCACCCTGGGAGGCCGAGACAGAAGGATCAAAAGTTGGAGCTCAATCTCGGTAACTAAAGGTTAGCAAGACCCTATCTCAAAACAAAAAATGAGTTCAAAGACAGGCTGAACTACATAATGAGACCTTGTCTCAACAAAAACAAACAAGCAAACAAACAAAACTAATAAAAAGTAGGCTAAGACAGAAAAATCTCAAATTTAAATCCAACTTGGGGAACTTAGTGACAAGATCCCTGCAAAAAAAAAAAAAGAAGATCCTTGCCTCAAAATAGAAATGCCTGGAAATCAGATGTGCTCCTGCATGCCTATAAACCCAGCAAAGGGGGCTGGGGATTTAGCACAGCGGCATAAGCGCCTGCCTTGCAAGCAGGCAGTTGTAAGTTTGATTCCCAGTACCGATAAAAAGGAAAAAGACAAAAAAAAAAAAAAAAAAAAAAAAGCAAAGGAGGCCAAGGCAGGAGGATTTCTGAGTTCAAGGCTAAACTACATAAGAAGACCCTGTCCCACCCCACCCTCAAAAAAAGAGGGGAGGGCAGAGGTGTAGCTCAGTGTGAAGATCCTAGGTTCAATCCCCAGTACCACAAAAAATAATAAAGAACATTGGCATAGTGGTACACACTTGTAATCACAGATTTCTAGGAGCCTAAGGCAGGAGATTGGCAAATTCAAACCTAACCTGGTCAACTGAGGCAGACCCTGTCTCAAAATAAAAAGGATTCTTTTCTGTACTAGAAATTGAACTCAGGACCTTGCACTTTCCAGGCAGGTACTATGCCACTGAGCTACAGTC